GTCAAGAATGATGGAGTTCGTTACTTCATGGATCGGATCTGAACATCGAAGTTTGGTGGATTCAGAGAAGTCGTCATGAACAAATCCCATAAGACACGATACTCCATACATCCCGGCTTTGATAAGATGTATTTGGACCTCAAGAAACTGTATTGGTGGCCGAACATGAAAGCCGAAATTGCTACCTACGTGAGCAAATGTCTGACGTGCGCCAAAGTCAAGGTGGAATACCAAAATCCCTCGGGATTGTTACAACAACTAGAAATACCCAAATGGAAGTGGGAGCGGATAACCATGGATTTTGAAAGCCAAGTTACCCAAGAAGGCAACCAGACTCGACACCATCTAGGTGATCGTCGATAGGTTAACTAAATCCGCGCACTTCCTACCAATCAAAGAAACAGATAAGTTGGAGAAGCTAACTAGAACTTACCTTAGGGAGATTGTATAATTGCATGGTGTGCTAATATCCATTATCTCGGACCGAGATAGTAGATTCACCTCAAGGTTCTGGCAGTCGCTGCAAAGATCTCTAGGAACAAGACTAGACATCAGTACCGCGTATCACCTACAAACCGACGGCCAGAGTGAGAGAACCATACAAACTCTAGAAGATATGCTGAGAGATTACGTACTCGATTTTGGTAAGGCATGGGACACCCATTTACCGTTGGTCGAGTTTTCGTACAACAATAGCTACCACATTAGCATCAAGACTGCCCCGTTCGAAGCCCTTTACGGCCGTAAGTGCAGATCACCTCTGTGCTGGGCTGAAGTGGGTGACATGCAACTAGCAAGAGGACAGGCAACGAACAACACTCTCACTGTGCCAGAAATCATAAGAGAAACTATGGAGAAGATTGTTCAGATCTGGGAACGACTGAAGGCTTTAAGGGACAAATAAAAGAGTTATGCGGATAAAAGACGGAAACCCTTGAAATTCCAGGTTGGAGACCGTGTCCTACTAAAAGTCTCGCCTGGAAGGGATTAATACGTTTTGGAAAGCATGGGAAACTAAACCCAAGGTACATCGGACCATTCAAGATCCTTGTCAGGATTGGTCCGGTGGCTTACAAGCTTCGATTACCTCAGGAACTCCACAAAATACACCCTACCTTTCACGTATCAATCCTAAAGAAGTGCTTGTCCGATGAGACCCTCGTCGTCCCTCTAGACGAAATTGAAATAAATGAGAGTCTCCAATTCGTAAAAGAACCAGTAGAGATCATGGATCGGGAAATTAAAAGAACTAAACAAAGCCGCATACCTATTGTAAAGGTCTGCTGGAACGCCAAGCGATGACCTGAATATAGTTGGGAACCCGAGGATCAGATGAAACAAAAGTACCTGCATCTTTTTCCTAACCCGTAAACTCTGTCTTAGATTAAATTTTGGGATGAATTTCCCTCTAACGGGGGGATGATGTGACTACCCTATATTTTTCCAAATCAATGTAACACTCAAAAGTCAAATACAACGAACTATTTGGGATCAACGGAATTAACCTCAAAAATAAAGTGTTCAAAAATCTAAATTTGGGATGCATCAAATGTTAGATGTCGTGCCAAGGTTACTAAAAACATAAAGAACGTTCAAAACCGACTTATAATGAAAAGATCATGACCACTCAAATACTCACGACACACCAGGTGAAACATTATTAAACGTAAAAAGTGAAATTCCAATATAGTGCATTTTAGCCTTAGGTATCTAAACAAAAGTCACAGATTACATTAAACCGTGAACATGCATAAAAAGATCACCCAAATTGGACCTCGTATAGAGAAGTTACGAATTTTCTAAGTTTCGTAACAGCAGTAGACAGCTAAAAAATCGAATTAAAGATCGGACGATTTTTAGCTAACGCAACCTAAACGAGAATTGAAGGTCTCCACAACAGGAGTAAGATGGTAAAAAGACTGATGAAAACAGACGTCGGATAAAGATGTTATGAGTTTTTAACGGACTTTAGCAGTCTCGGCCTACTAAAATCATAATATTAAAAATAAATTCAAAACTAGCCAACGGAGTCTAAATGAAAGTTGTAGAGCATAGTCTCACCTACGTGTGGATATAAAGAACGTGAAAAACGAAGCCGGTAACGAAAGTTACGGAATTTAGAAGAACGAAGCCCGAATTACGCCTTGCGTAATTTAAGAGTACGCCCAGCGTACTCAGGCGCAGTGTCGAGCCCCATCGGCTAGTAGACTGTACGCTTAGCTATAACAGAGTTGTAAGCCATGATGCATACGAACGCCCAGCGTACTCCGATATTACGCCCAATGTACTCCCACTTTCAACCCTATAAATAGAGGGCATGAGCTCTGAGTTTTGGCACACTTTCTCAAACTCTCTCTTAATTTCACTCACTTGTGAGCTCCAGAGGCCATCCCGACACCCTCGGTTCCATACCCGAGCCCCGACGAAGGTTCTACGCTACAGAGATCCCTGAGAAGCTCGAAGATGCAGCTTTCCGCAGTTGAAGTTCTACTCGATTCTAGTCTCACTCTCTTCAAACCAAACAAGTGAGTTCATACCCCTACTTTTCACGTATTTTAATGTTTTAAGGGGGGGGGGGGGAATACAAGTGCGATACAAGAAAACGTATCGCTTTGTATAGATTTAAATACAACTTCTATATTATCATTATTCGATATCAACATTTTACTTTGCATGAAAAGTTAGTATTTCATCGAGTTATTATCACCAAATGTAACACACTTTCGGAAAAACTATAATGGGTGTAGCTTGCGAGTTATTCATACATTCTTACGTAAATATCTGGAAAGAAAAACGAAATATTTTCATCTAAAGTGAAATAAAGACTTTCTTTTCGTAAATATATTTATACTAAGTGTTGTCAGATATTCAACTTCAACGTACTCTCAAGTATGCATTTCAAGTCCTGTATTATACACCATAATCTCTTGAAGGGAGAGCGTGATACTTGTGTATAGATCTATACGGGATTGGCAATCCCACACCTAAACAGTTAGCTACAGTTAGACCAGCAGGTCTGGGGTGACAAATGTTATAACACTACAACACCTGATGAATGTTGTTACAGGCAGTCTGTGTCAATAGCATGGTTATAAGACTCACACGAAAGTACAAAAATAAGCTTGATTTACGAGACTCATGAATGCATTCAGTATTTACATTATTTTGAGTATTAATGCACCTTTATCATTTAGGTACGAAAGATACTAACTCCCTCAAACATTTGAGATCTTTTCAAACTATATATGGAAAATATTGGATTTTTTGGAAACTATGTTCATCTATTTTCTTCTAAAAAGACATACTTTTTCAGTACGAAAACACTTATGAACTCACCAACTTTATTGTTAACACTTTTTTGAAACTACTTGTATTTCACAGGGAATCAATAATACAAGTAACTACCAGCTTTTGAAGAAGAAACGCTAAGGCGTCTATTATCAAACATTTTAAACCATCATATTTGTAATATTCTTTTGGAAACATGTGTTACACAACAATGTACATTTTTATTATATATATGATGATTGTGTTACTTTCTTTACGATATTCAATTGTTATGGTACTACGTGAAGTCACCCATCCTCGAATGTTTCCGCCATTCTGGTTTGGGGGTGTGATTGAGGCCATATGAGTATACTGTAAGTTATTTATCTTTGTAATTTCTTGCGTTTGCTAATGTGATTTTATGTATACCGGGAGGGGCCCGATGCGAGGTTGGGCCTGATAAATTCGATGAGGTGAGGTCCATCTTATATTTCTAACAGTTTTGTTTCGAGCGGTGCTCGATGCTAGGCGGGGCCCGTTATATGTTTGATATGTATGATATGTAGTATTTTGGGGACTTATTAAGCTTTGTGCTTACGGTTTTCAGTTTATGTTTCAGGTACTTCCGGATCCAAGGGGAAGAGCTTGTGGTGATCGCGTCGCACACAACACATTTTTCTGCATTTTATTTGACTATGATCTATTCGGATGTTTTGATTACACTTTGATTCTATTATGGTTATGTGAACATGTTTTGAAAGATGGTTTTATTAATCTAAAAACAAAAAAAAAATTGATCCTGATGTTTAGGACGTTACATAAAGAGTCAAGTTTCCTTGGTGAGCATGGATTAAGATCTCTATAAATAAAGGCTATGTATCTGCTAGGGTTAGATTGATTAAGAGACCTCACGAGCATTGTTTGTAACCCAAGTTTTGAGTTATTTTCTTGAGTTATAATCAGAAGGAGCATTGTTTATTTGTATTGTTTTTTATCAATTGTGACCAACAATATAAACTACAATATTGATTCATAAATAAGATCAACCTACCAGGTCAACTAGGTTACTGGTCAATGCTTCAACCAGCTTTCTTGGTAAACTTGGTCGGTTCAATCCGGTTCTAACAATACACAAAAACCTACTCAATTGACCCGTTCTTTTCACTCGTCAGCTCAACCCGAGTTTGAAAACACTGGTTACATGTTGCATTGATGACATGTCATTCACATGGCCGGCCAATGTTGTTGCTAGGTAGCTTGCACCATTGGCATGACAAGATATTCATAATTTTTTCATGAAACAACAACCACGTTTACTCTTATCTAGCGATTTTGAAACTTTGTTCCACTCTACAAATTCATATATAATTAAACTAAATATTTTCCTCATTGAATTAAATAAGCGCACATATGGATAATCACGCCTACGTACACACACAGTTTTGATTTTGTGGTTAATGAACAAGCGATACAGCTAAACAAAAAATGAACCAACTACCAAGGTCACAAGCCTCTCAGTAGGCCAACAGTCCGAGGTTATTTACTAAACATATATAATAAGACTAACACCAAGATTTTACAACATAATTTTCATAAAAATGTGCTATTTATATAGCATATGTAATGTTACAAACATTGAATAAACACTTAAACGGACATCAAATTATATGTGATGCAATTAACTTTTAAAAAACTTCAACTAATTCACAGATATTGTCCTTGAAATTGGTATGTCAATAGCTACTACAATCAGAGCTACCGAGCAAAACTAGTGTTTCAATGTAGGAATTCACTGTGAATGAAGACCCACTAATGAGATGATTGCTTAGTTCTGAGTTAGGCTCATAAACAACAAGCTCCTCAGTTGATTCAAAGGCATAATCTTGGACTTCCATAATAGGTCCGCCCCTCCTCCTAAAACCTACTACCCTCATCAATTGACCTGGTGCCTTGATACTGAATAGCTTTGTAAACGATGTTTCTACACCCTGCTCCATCATCCATACAGTACAACAAACTTGCTCCTCATTGGTTGTATTGTATCCGCATTTATTGTCTTCAAGTATAACAAGAGACTCCCTTAGCTTAGATACAGAAAGTAGGGAGAAAGTGATGATAGCCATCCTTTCGGGGAGGACTACTACTTCAAACTTCTCATTAGTTATATCAAATGACATAATCAGATTACGAGTTTTAAACACACTATCCACAGTTGTACAATCTACAGCACACCAGTAGATAGACTTACCAATAACTACCTGGGGCCCCATAATATGTATTGATATGCTGGGGAGATTGCCAGATAGACTTGTAAATTTCCCGGAACTTTGCTTATAAACCTTAACATCCCAAAAGTTGCCAATTTCGCTTTTCAGTTCACTCCCCCAACCCCAACGCAATTCAGTGATCTGGATGATCTTGGTATCAATAGTGACAGGACAAACTCCAAAACCAAGAACGATCTTATGATTCGTATATAACATATCACTGCAATAGCTATTGATTTTCTAATGGAAGGATTCAAAAGAACAGCCATCGTCTTACTATAGCTTGAACCAGAAAACTGATAACCTTTGAAACACAACAAGCCATAAGAACTACCAACTATGTGTTGATGTCTAACGGATAGGGGAAGAGACGGAAGAAACCTATGTTTGGGGAAAGAGTCATCTTCGACAAAAGAAACATATTTAGCTTCTTTTGTGTCTGTGTACGATACAAGCAGATGTTGTGGCTGTGTGTGGCTGACGCTGTGAGCAGCAATAAACTCTGAGCTGTCGATCAAAGACTTCCATGCTTTCGAGACGGATCTGAACTGAATCAATGATTTGATAGGAAACCTTTTCAGGATTGTCTCTTGGATACGGAATGGCAGTTCGTCAAACATTTTAATTGTGGGTGTCGTTGGTACCTGATTTTTAACGGTTTATATAACGGGAGATTTTAAATTCTACCATACTAAAAGCACATGGACCGGAATAATTGCGTTCCGTTGACCATGAATTAACATATATTTAAATACAGTTGGTAATTAAATAATCGTACTTTTTGAAAATATTATTTGTTCCAATAGCTGTAGCTAGGTAATATCATTGGAGGCATGGGATACATGAGTTGGCTCAACAACGCAAATTCAAATAATAACGTACAACTAAAAAATTATTATTTGGAAACGGTCAATACCATTAAAAAAAGAACCCACTTCTAGCAGGGTAAAAAACAATGTACAAAAGAAGGAATTACAAAGGGAAAAAAAGAATGCACAAAAGAGGGAATTACAAGAAAAACCCGAAGATACACCAATCAATCTAACTACAACTTTCTAAATTTTCCCTATATTTCAGCCTAAGATACACCATACAAATGATCTCGTCAGTCACCATAGAAGCACAGTGCAACCTTTTGTTTAAGACACTGGTTTTCCATGCACCAAAGCATACCAAAGCAAAACACCATAAGAATTTTACGCTTCATAGAACAACTCTCCCAGTTAGATGCGAAGTTCAATAAATCGTTTATGTTACCAAAGAAAGCTTGATTGACACCACACTATCAAGGATATAGAGCCCGATCCACAACATATAGCATCGGATCCACAGCAGCCCAATGCATCATCATAGCCCATCACAATATACTCATGTTTACAATGTATTTACTTATTCAAGTGTATAGTCAATAGATCCAAAAATATCTCCTGTAGAATAGCTCTTGAATATCTTGTAATCTATTGTAATTAAGACTATATGGTGTGTTGATATTGGAATACAAATCAAGTCATTCGATCATATTCATTCCTTCTCTATATGGTATCAAAGCTACAATAGCTCCTACGAGTTCTTAACACACACTCGTTCTAATTCATCTTCAATTATCGATCACACACAGTCAACATGTCCAACATCACCGAAGTCACAACCCATACCCGCATTCCAATAAAACTTACAGCCAACAACTTTCCAGTTTGAAGGAAGCAAGTAGTAGCAATCCTAACTAGACTAGGGCTTGAAGGTTACGTTGATGGATCCACAGAAGCTCCGGCCAAAACCCTAGCCGCCGACAACACATCCAAACCAAACCCATCATACATGAGCTGGTATCGTCAGGACCAAATTATTCTCGGTGGCCTGTTAGGAAGTTGTGCTGAAAAAATCCAACCGATTGTCTCGTCAGCCAACACAGCTTATGAAGCTTTTAAATAGCTATGAAAGTGTCTCCAGGTCTCGTATCATCTCCTTAAAATCAAGATTAGCCAACAATCCCAAAGGTACACGCTCTATCACTGAGTTTCTCCATGACATGAAGAATATTGTCGATGACCTCGCTCTAGCTCAAAGCCCCTTTGACGAAGAAGACCTAGTAGTACACATAATAGGACAACTAGGAGATGACTACACTCACATTGCATCTGCTCTGAAAATTCGTGAAACCCCTATCACGTTCCCTGACCTTTTCGATAAGCTTCTTGATCATGAGCGATCTCTCAAAGAAACTCAGCCTACACCCATTATTGCTACTGTCAATAATACCCATAAATACTCAAATCACTACCCATCAAAAACAAACCAGGAAAATCGCAATCAGCCACGATTTACCAACAACAATAACACCACTGATAACAGGAATTTCTGCTCCCCTGGTTCCAACCATGGAGGTAATAACAACTACCAGAGAGGTAACAGAAATAACAGTTTTTGTCAATTTTGTAGTATACCACATCACGAAACCAAGGATTGCAGGAAGCTCTCTTGGTTCGTAAGAGAAAACAACATCATCATATCCATGCCTTCCCCTAGTCCCACGGTGAACACTACAACCGTTGCCTCTATATCAACCACGCCACCTTGGACGCTTGATACCAGAGCCTCTCATAATGTCACATCAAATCCTGGTTCCTTCCATATACCCTATTAGAATACGGAGCACAATGTTTTCTATGTATGTCAGTTGCGTAATAATCTTATATCAGTAGCCAAACTCTATAACTCTAACAAAGTTTCTGTTGAATTTTTTCCCCTATTTTTTCCTTATCAAGGACCTACGCACAGACACCATTCTCATGCGGGGAGTGAACATCAATGATCTCTACTATGCAGCCATTTTCTTTCTTCGTAATCTTCCAAGCATCAACTCCACCGTCTCCTCCAGGTGCACCACCAACTCTTGGCATCACAAGCTGGGTCCAAGGAACATTTAACTAGGACACGGTCTGCACATTCCGGAGACCGGCCACACCGGCCACAAAGCCCACACCTAATCGAATGAATAGGCATACCACAACTAGCTAGGGCAACATTAGAAGGAAATCTACCTTGGATTGCTCTTCATAGAAAACACATCACTTTGAACAAAACTTCTTTACACCAAATTACCAATGAATCAATAATAGGATGATGAAGAAGATTACGATCCATAATGCATCCGAGCTTCTCCACTATGTAAAATCCTTTCGAGTTTATGGCACAACTCCATGAAACAAAAGAATGGTTGAATTTAAAAATATCAAAGAATCCTAAACCAACTTTTTGAATATTGATGTTAACATTGGCTATAATATTTAGTTACAGATTTTTTTAGAGAAATGATGATCAGGTTTTCCTTCAAGGTTGTGGATGCCATAAATAACTTTTCTCCAGAAAGCACCAAGTTCATCTTTAATCTCTGCCACCACTTTACAATAATGCAAATGTTTAGGATGCAAATAGAACCAACACCTAAACTAACATGCTATTTTGCAGCCACAATCTTATCCCAACTCACCCAAAGAATATTTTTATTGTTGTTCGATCCCCATAAAAGAAATTCTTCTAATCTACTCTAAAGTTTCACGAATACCCAAAAGAGCTTTAAATAATTGCATGTAGAATTTGGGCAAATTGGCCAAGACATACTTAATGAGGGTAAGAGTCCCTCTAAAAGATAATGTCTTTGATTTCCAAGATGATAAATTATCCCGAAATCAGTCAATGACAGGCTTCCAATTTTTTATGAGATTCATGTTTGCACTAACATGCATAACAAGGTATTGAAACCGAAGAGCCTAGTTCACAAACTAGTAAGTTCGCCCAACTCTTCACTTTAGTCTGTTTTGCACCAATACAAAATACCTTTGATTCCGAGTAGTTCACCTTCAGACCAGACGAGATATGAATGCCCAACAAAATGCAAGTTAGGTTTGTAATATAGAATTTGGACCACTCACCCACAAACAATGCATCATCAGCTTATAGGAGATGCAAGATAAGTGTGTTACAGTTGGGAATTTTGATACCTTGAAAGATGTCTTTATCTATAACTTTAAAGCATCATTTAGGCCTTCCATAGCTATTATTTTGTTATTGGGGAACCATTCATAACTATAGAGGCACAAGAAGAAGCATGTTGGATTAGGAGTCTAAGTTCATAACTATAATTCGTATATACATAAATTGATAACAACACGGTCAATTTGGGTTGCCCTCAAAACTATCAACTAGACAGGATGATTTTAGAGAAAGAGATTGATTTATTATTTGATTAATAAATTAAAATAAATGATTTGTTAATATATTATAAGAATAATATAATAATTAGAAATAACAATATTTAATTAATATTTAATCAAAATTTAATTGGATTTAATTTTGTGATTAATAGAATTAATTAAAAGTGTAGAGATTGCAGTCAGTTGTTAAATAGTTGAGCAAGAGGCAATCCAGAACCCTTCATAAAGGTTTGGATGTTCTTTCTTCAGGCCTTAGGGTTTCTAGAATAATCCCTAGTGGATAAATAGGAAAGTAGATAATTACCCAATTTAAAATAATCTTGGATTATGCTTTATCTTGGGTTTCCTGACTGTATTATATAAATAGCGTCAACCGTAGCTAAGATTTTCGACCAGTTGCTTCATGGAATACCTAGCCAAATTTTAAAGCATTTCTCCTCCTCAATCATTCTTCCATTGCTAGTGTTGTGTGTTAACCACTAGAGGCGTGACATTTGTGACGCTTCCTCTGAAGGCTTCATCTACACAAGGATTTGCATGGTTATTATTATATAACAATAAAGGTATGATTCTTATAACCCTAATGATGTATTTTTCGATTATATACTATTTTCTAGGGTTTCTATTTTGTTGTCTAATTTGTATGTTTAATTTGAGAAAACATAAATCAATTAATAGGGTTGCATGCACACATAAGATTTATATGTTTTGCATAATACACATCAGTAGTATCAGAGCATAGGTTTTGTTTTCTATTGAACTTATACAATGGTTGAACTTGAATAAGGAGGAGAAAACAGAATCATCAGTCTGTTCCGCCACCACGACGTGGGTGACCTCCATTTTTGCTCTACCACGATGTGGAAATTGTTTAAAACGACCTATTGGGTTGTCATATCTACAAAATTTGGTTTTATACATAATCTCATGAATTGATTAGGATAATTACCTTCAATAATGTTTTAATTTTATAAAAATAAATATTTTTCAAAAGTAATTTAATATCCTCGTTTTGAGTTCATGATTGGATTAAATTTTAAATTTTAAATTAATTTGTTAATTTTTTGAAATTTAAAATTTAACCTAGTATTTGTGGAAAATTTTTAAAAATATATTCTTATACTATATGTAACATTAGAAGTCTAATATTACTATACGTATAAGACTAAGTTAGTCGAACCGCTAGTATACCTCATTCACGAAGCCGATATAAGGAAATTGCCTATAAAATGATGATTGAATGGGTGTCCACAATCACCCACCACTTCCTTGATTGGTGGAGGGTCGTTACCTAAACGCGTTTGATAATATAAATTAATCATAATTAATTAATATTGGTCTTTCACATGACCAATGATGTTATTTTGAAACTTTGTTCCACTCCATTCTACAATAAAAGCACTAAACGTCTCTCTAATAACAAAGCGGTGGTGGAGGTTGAGAACCATGCAGGATCAGTTATGGGATGCTGTGATAACAAGTGTGCACAATCTAAGGTCGAAACCTGATGACTGTTACTCTACAAAGTCGTTACCTGGGGTATGGAATAACATCACTGGAATTGGAAATGATCTAAGGCGGTGTTTGGTTCATAGAATGTTTTTGAAGGAATTGGAATTTGTTGAGTAATTGGAATCTGTCTTGAATTGGAATCTAATTCAATATGCTGTTTGGTTAGCAATAAATGGAATTTGAATTCAATTTTATAATTTTTTTGCACTACAAGAAAAATCCTAAATGGCTACGGAAACTTGCTACGGAATTGAAATCCGTAGCTATTCTATTACAGAATGTGCTACAAAATGGTTTTTCGTAGCTATTTTGCTACGAAAATAGCTACAAAGTTACATTCCGTAGCTAAACTAGGAATAACTACAAAAAGTTACTACATAATCAAAATTTGTAGATATTATACTACGAAATATGTTACAAAATGGCTAGCCGTAGCTATTTTTCTACGGAAATAGCTACGGAGTTGCATTTCCGTAGCTAAATCTTGAATTGTTGCTACAAAATCAAAATTTGTAGCTATTTTACTATGAAATATACTACATGGTTGTTGATTGTAGCTAGTTTGCTACGGAACATGTTACGTAATCAATTTTCGTAGTTGGTTGGCTACAAAATCGGTTACGGAATAAAAATATGTAGCTAGTTGGCTACATAACAGAAATTTGTAGCTACTTATTGACGAAAATTTGATACACAGTAAAAATCTATAGCTAATCTACAACGGAACTTGTAACTAAAAGGTTAACCGTTGTTATTTCTTTATCTAAGTTGTTTTTGAATTTGCAAAATAGCTACAAAATCTAAATCGTATCTATGTGGCTACGGAATATTTTGTAGTCATTTAGTTATGGAATATAATTCCGTAGTAGAATACAAAAAAATATTTTACCAAAAAAAAAATAAATTACTATTTTTAATTGTGTTATGATTTTTAATTATGATTAATAAATTTTTTTACATGATAAGTTTTTTTTATTTATTCTTATTATCATTATTTTATTATATATTTTAAAGATATATTAACATTAATTAACATATATAATTAAATCACAACAATCTTATGAACAGTAACTTACGTGGGTATTGTTTTCCCCACCGCTTCTCATCGACTCTCTGATTCTTTTGTCATTCCTTTCCCGTCACAGCTTCCTCATACATCGCCTACATTTATCTGTCTCTCGATCCTTCCGTCTTCCACTACTTATCTGCCATCTGCATTCCCTAGGGTTCGTTTGTTGGCGTAGCGTTATTCGAGCGTCCCCGAATTGGAGCTAGAAACACGGTACTTTTCCATAATCTTTTCAATTTCCATCTACAAATTGACAAGGGTTTTGATCTTTGGTTGTAATTTTGGGACCTAAGTTTTTGTTACCGGTACCATCCACTTCATAGAATTCAACGTATGCTTAATTTCTTCTAAGTAAACTTTCAAATTCATATTTATTGTGAAGTGAAATTGAATCTGTTCGAAGCCCAGTCACTTAACATTCTTAGATTTACTTTTGTTCTTCTTTCTATCTTGTGGCTCAATTTCATTTACTCGATAATGTTTGATTTTGATTTTACCGAAGTGTTGTTCCTGTTTCTCACTTTATCTCCATCGCCTTTCAAACCATCGAAATCGATGCATCTTGAAGATGAAAATTAATGTCATGTTGTGAACATCGACCCAGCGGCACCTCTTCATCTTCGATTCCTATCTCCCACTGCTCCTTTCTAATCAATTGGTGGTGGAGGGAAGAACGACGAGGTAATGTTTCTTCCTCTTTCACGTTTCTTTACTTTCTGAAAACAGTTACAATATTACAACTTGCTAATGGTCGCATACGGCTTTGTTTTGTTTTCTCTATGTGACGGGAAGAGAGCTGAAACCGATGATACAGTCTCTAATACTCCTGCTACACTTGAAACGTTTGCTGAAAGGTATTAGTACAGTTTCTTTTTTTGCTTATATATGTTAACCCATAAATAGAGCTCCATCTCTCTTCTGAAAGTCAATGCTCTACACCCTCTGTAACATCACATGTTCATGGAATTATATATTGTTTATGTGTTTACAGAATTGCATGCACCCTGTGGAACATCACATGTTCATGGAATTATATATTGATTATGTGTTACAGAATTGCACACTACATGTTTGATGTTATGCTTGAGTGGAACTTATCTTCATGAATTTTTTTTTTGAAGATGGTTCACGTTTTATAGTTCAGCCAGCTTATCATTTTGAATTTGGGTTCGTAATAAAATTATGTTTTTCACTTGCAATGTTTATGTTTTATAGGAATTTACTTTATGTGGTTTCTAGATAGTGATTTTTCTTTGTTTCGGTAGCTTTATTGCTCAATATTTGAGGAATAAATTATGTATCTTGTTTAAACTTTTATGTTTTTTTTTCTTCAGATACTGAGTTTGTTCATCCAAAATCTACAAAAGGGTATAACCGGATGGTTGGTGATGTTGGATATGGTCGCAACTACTATTTTTGGCCTTAATCATGGTAATCTTATACTACTAAAAGATAAAAGTTAGGTCACTCAATCCATTTAAATCATCAAAAATTGAAGGCAACTTGATTACAGGAAAGCCACAGTTCTTGAAGGAGGTAAATACTCACAAATCCTTGTAGTTTTTTAGTTGTTGACAAACATGTTATGAATGATAAGACCAGAACACATCTTTCGTGAATTCAACAGGTATTTAACATACATCTTTCAATACTAAGTGCTTACTCTATTAAGCTCATGAAGTTAAAAATAGAAGAATCGTTGTTTTTGTTTAGGTATTCATGTGAACCTGCATCAACTGTTATCATCATATAAAATTTGAAGTTGGGACAAATATTGTTGTAATTGGTGCTCAAAGTTGCTGGTATTCTAGATCATTTATGGTTATTTGTGTGTTTGTGATGGTTCCAGTATGAACGGTGTGACAATATTTGTAAAGAATATTTATTTTGATGATTAGGGAACCATGTAAAAGGATTATCAATTATGTAATATATCTATAAAAATCTATGTAACTACTAAAATTAAATTTATTGCATTTTATATATTTCAACGAATATTATAAATGGAAATTGGATTTTTTTTTTTTGAATATTTTTATCATTATGAATTTGTTTTGGAACCTATTTCTTCTATCGAACAAATGGCTACGGGATTTGCTACGGAACAAATGGCTACGTAATTTATTACGGAACAAATGACTACGGAATTTTCTACGGAACAAATGGTTACGGAATTTGCTACAAAACAAATGGCTACGGAATTTGTTACGGAATAAATGGCTACGGAATTTGTTACGGAATAAATGGCTACGGAATTTGCTACGCACCCCGTTGTTACGGAAGTGTTATAGAAATATGTTGTAGTTAAATTGCTACGGAATAAACGTCGTAGCAAAACTGCTACGAAACTATAATTCCGTAGCTAAATAATTTGCTACAAGAAATATAACTACGGAATCTCATTGACGAATTCCGTAGTAACTTTTGTAGTTATTCAGGTTTAGCTACGAAATTTTAGCTTTCAGCTACAGAATTTTTTCGTAGCTAAATCGAAATTTTCTTGTAGTGTTGGTTGGCGGAAAATGAAATTAGAATAGTATAAAATTACAGAACTATTATTCTTAGTTTTTGCTTACTTTTACTTTTTTATAATTATATGCAAAAATATATTATATAAATTATAAAAATAGTAAACTGTGGTGGTGGCGGCGGCGATGGTGGCAGAAGCGACCGTGGTTGTGATGGCAGTAATGTGTGGTGGTGACGAAGGTAGAGGTGGTGGTAGTAGTGACATCACTAGTGTTAATGGTAGATATAGTGGTGGTTGTGGCGGTGGGTGTTAGTGGCGGTGGTGGTAGGTGCAGGTGGCGGTGGAGGTGGCGGTGACGGTGATGGTGGTGGTGGTGATGGCAATAGAGGTGATGGTGGTGATGATAGAGTTAGTAGTGACTACGATAATAGTAGGGTTGTGGTGTAGGTGGTAACGGAGGTTATGAGTAGTGCTGGTAGTGGTGGTGGTGGTAGTAGTGTTGTCAGCGATGGTGATGGTGGTAATGGAAGCGGTGGGTGGTGGTGGCGAAGGTGGTAGCAGTGGTGACGACATTAGTGATGATGGTTAGTGGTGGTGATGGTGGTGGTGGAGGTGGGTGGGTGGCACAGGTGGTGGTGGTGGGTTGTAGTGGAGGTGGTGGGTAGTGGTGGCGAAGGTTGTGGTGGAGGTGGTCGCAAGTAGTAACAGAGGTTTTTCATATTTAATGTAAAAATGAAAAGGGTAATATGGTAATATTCAACACTCTCACTTGAAGGAATTTGAATTTGGTCATCTTTTAGATGGAATTTATTTTCTCTCAATGAAAGGAAAGTTGGAAACATTTACAAATCCAATTCCTTCTCAAAACTTGAACCAAACATAGGAAAGTGATGGAATTAAATTCCAATTCTTTTCAATTCCAACAGATTCCAGCAAACCAAACGACCCCTAAAGAAAAAGAATATCCAAGTTCAAACTGTGTTAGACAAACGAATAGTAAATAATGGTGTTATATGGAGATGTGGGCTCACCCCGGATAGCTCTTTCACAGTAAATGCTCTTAGATCAAGATGGGCCTACCGGATTCCAATAACCAACAAAAATTTCCACCGGATAAAAGAAATCCCACTGAAAGTGTCTTGCTGTATTTGTGGAGCACAATGGGGCAGAATCCCAACAACTAAGGAGTTAGTAAAAAGATGGGTAAACATGGAAAATTTAACTTGCCAGATGTGCAATGTGAAGGAAGAAAGCACTGATCATATTCTTGTAGATTGTGCTTATGCAAAGAATGTCATGGAAGGAGTAATGAGATGGTGCAAGGTGGATACTCACATGGAAGATCTCCAAGCGGTGTCGGATGTTCTGAACCTTGCCAATAAATGGGGAACGTGTACTAAAAAGTGGAAGGTTTTTCTGGCAATCTGTTATTTTACACTATGGAGAATATGGATAACAAGGAATGAAAAAGTCTTCAAAAGGAACCAGATACCACTCGAAAAAGTT